CAGAAAGAAAGCGGACTGTTCTGTTAGCCGTGCGCGTGCACGTGCTGTACTAGGAACAGGTGGACATGACAGGCCTGATGAGGAGCGTATTATGCTTTAGCAGTGTGGAGTGAGCGGCAGATGCAGCTGCAGCCGGCTCCACAGCAAACACCGCCGGCTCCCATCAGCTCAACAAAAGTCTGCAGCCTTCTCTGGAGGGAAGCAGCCCGACGCTCCCTCCTGTTGTTTATTCACCGCCAGGAAACGCCTCGTAGCGACAGCCAGGCGTTGGTGGCTTAATAGTCAGGCGGGTTTCATCGTCCCTTCAGAGCGGTTTTTATTTTATTTGTATTTTTTCTTCAGCTTTTCCAGGCCGGTTTCTGTTCACGCGGAGCAGGATGCTGCCGCCACAGCGAGTCCACCCATTTACACACACGCTGCACACACGCCGTGCACACGCACAGGCCCAGAAACCGTGCACGAGCCGGCCCAGTCCTCTCCCGTTCTCCACTGACCCCCCCCCCCCCCAAACGGAAACGCCGCCGCACAATCAGGCACACGGCGTCCAAACACAATGCCCGTCACCAGGGGACTTTTTTAGCCGGTCTTAGTCTCATTCTTCACGTGAGCGTTTGGTTCATGATGGATTGTTGAGGGGAAACTACAGAGGCTCGAGAGATCCTCACCAGCCGTCCGTCACCCAGAAACCAGACCATGAGGCTGGCCCTTTCAGTTCACTTGTTACAAAAATAACTGAGACCCTCATTTCTGATCTCAACCTTCTCGTTGGCGGTGGGCTGTTTCTTTTCTCCTGCTCTACATCAGCAGAGACCATAGGATTATGGCTAAGAGTGATGGAGTAATGGATGCCCGGCGCTTCCTGTAGAAGCCTCCGAATGGTTTTCAAAGTGGCTCTAATGCAAATTTGAAGTTTGATTCAGCCAGAGCTGAAATCTTTTAAGATCTTTTAAGATGTGCTGATATCCAGCGGCGGTTCAGATGTCTGTGGGCCCGGCCCGGGGCTGTTTGCGCTGCTGGCAGATCAAAGCCGTCTGGGACAGGTGTAGGCGGTGACGATGGGGGGGGCCACACCCTTCTCCCTGTGTGGCCTCCCAGCCCCGGGGGGGCAGGGGGGGGGTGAAGTCAGGGCTTTGCAGCTCTAAGGCATTAGGACTGTTTTTTCTTTTTTATTAAATGAAAGGATACAGAATTTTTTTTTTAATGGCTTCTTTCAAAGTGAGTTTTAAAAAACTGTGGGCCCAGCCCCTTGTAGGGGGTGTCCTCATTTATTTCTTGGTCTGGACTCCACTTTGTGTCTTTGCTGTTGTTGTTTTTTTCTATCTGGTGCAATGTCCAGAGCTCAGTGGGAATCGACTGTGCCCCCTCCAAACTTCATTAATAGTCCACCGTCTCTCCCTTTCTCTCAGCACTCTCCTCTCCTCCTCAAACTCAATCTTCCTTTTCTTCTGGGCTCTGTTCTCTCCTCTGCCCTTCTTATTCATTCCTGTCTTTTGTTTCCCTTTGCCACTCTCCTCTTTCAAATCCTCATCCTTCCATTTTGAGAGCCCTCTGCCCCCTCTCTGTGCTGCCCTTTCGGACAAAAGAGGAATCCCCTGGCCGGACTGAAGGGGTGGGGGTGGGGGGGGGCAGCTGGGGCCCGACTGACTGACAGCCCTGTGTGGGGCTGGCCGCTTGGCCTTTGTCCCTCCGCCGAGGAAAATGGAGGGAACCCAAAGAGGTGGAACAAGGAAAGGAGGAGGGGATGGACACCAGTGGAGGAGCTTCAGGGACTTTGGGCTCCTCCGGTCAGTTTCAGGCCAGCAGCAAACACGGGAACAAGTGCAGGTTTTCTTTCTTTTAAACCCGAAGCGGTCCGAGGGGTCTGCGGTCACTCAGGCTTTCTTTGGCGAGCAGCCCCCCCCGAAATGAGATAGGCTAAACCACTCGCTCAACCAAATCCCCCCCTCCGCTTCCTGGGATGCCGAAAGAGTCCCGGCCAGCACAAAAGCATGTGCTGCGCCCTCCCCTCTCTTTGAGCCCCCCCGACCCCCCCACGCAGCCTGTGTGGCTGTAGAATCGGGGGGTGGGGGGGCTGGAATTAAGGATTTGCCATCAGATTAAGAGGCTCGGGACTGTGTGAATGGGAGTTTAATTTGTGTATTAGAATAAAGGAGGAAATGTAATGATGGTGTGTAATGGCCGCTCTCTGACTGAATAGCTGGACTGATCACAGGCCCGTGTTAGCGGGTTTTCTTCTTCTTATTATTTCTTTTAATTTGCCACTCTTCGGTCACATCTAACTTTGACACACTGGATATATTTGAGGGGAATTTAACTCTCCCCGTCATCACCTGTGCTGCGATCACATCCAGTTAAAGGGGGGGGGGCTCTGCTCCCTGTTCAGTCAGATGGCTCGACTGGAGGGAAATTAAAAGCTAAACGGAGTCACTTGACTGGAACGCGGCAGGCCGTGTGAGCGTCCGGCCTCGGCCCCTCCAGCTCTCCTCCAAACGGTCTGTGCCACCAGCACACACCGCTGGCCTCTCGGGATGGACCCGGTCTGGCTTCACTGGGCTCCTCCGGTAGTCCAGAACGGAAACCTTCCACCCGCCGGCTTTGTGGACTATTCCGACTCGCGTAAACACACCCGTGAACAGTCGCAACGCAAACACCAGCCGTGGAGAGGACTACAGGCGTGTGCGCGTTAACCCCCCCCCTCGGTCATTTTGAAGTCCTCCCAGCGTGCAGCTGTGCCGCTCCTCGTCGGCCTCTTAAGCACCTTTTTAATGCGATTTCCGACATTTTCCCTGAACTGGAATTCAAAGCACACCGCCGCCAAAACTCGGAAATGTGATCAGCAGCTTGTCACTGGGCCCTCCTTCCTCTTATGAAACAAGCAAAAAGTTTCTTTCATTACATGGAGGGTCCACACTGCCCTCTGCTGACCCTCCCACATGCATCTGAATCACAGGGCTGTGGGGGGGGGATTCACTAAGTCCTGCTGCCCCCGCTTGTTGCTCCAGTCGGCCCGCTAAAGGGGTCAGTTTTTCTTTCTTCTAAATTCTTCAGGTTGCGCTCTGATTCACTCTTTCATTGGTGACTAGTTTGGGGGGGGGTTATCTGGGGGGGCCTTCACATACAGTGGACACCCAAAACCATCCAAACACAACGAGTCTTCAGAGCTCTAAAGCTCTAAACGCATTAATGTCCACACAGCACTCAAGATTACTTGTTTAATCTATATTATAGTTGAATGTTAAATTGTTAATGTTAAATCCTTAATGTTAAACCCCCCTCTTGCATATTGCACTCAAGGTAAGTGTGTAACCAGCGTTGTAGTTGAATATACAACCTCTTTTTGTAAGTCGCTTTGGATAAAAGCGTCTGCTAGATGTACAAAAATGCAACTCACACAAGCACTTAGGGCAGGAAATGTCCGTCATGGAGGACCAGGGAGGAACTGATCGGCATCTTCCAAGCTTTGGAGTCTACATGTGTGTTTTCAGACTTTTCTCAGACAGAAAACCACACACACACACACACAGGAAAAGGAGTTTGTGCTCTATCTGAGGGTGCCGCGTTGGGCAACAGATCGGATCCAGCAGAGTAGCAGCTTTCGGATCGTAAGCCCTAATCCTGGCGGAGGAGGGAGCCACATTATCTGTTTTTTGTTTTTTTTTCAGCTCAGTAAATGAATTTCTGGTAACTGACACACAAAGGTCAGCCGTCAGCAGAACAATTTGCTGACCGAGCGAGGTTTAATTTGAATTAGAGTTCAGGCTCCAGGCCCTGCCGGCAGACCTGGTTGACTGGCCGGGGGGGTTGGTGAGGGCCGTCCCTCCTCCGGCCGTCTGAGCCCCACAGACTCTGAGCGGCTGGCGGGGGAATGCCGCCGGACGCCCGCCGGCCCGTCCAGCAGCCCGGCTCCCGTCGCAGCTCTTGGCAGCACGCTCTCCTGGCGAATGCCGCTTTGTTGGGTTGCGGTTGCCATGGCACCGGAGCCTGAGCCAGCACTGGACGGCCACTCTGAATGGGGCCGTTGTCTCTGCGTCCATCAGGTCCATCTGCTGGATGTTTTCCCGTTTTACGCCCTCAGAAAACGTTCGTTGGCGTGTGTGCAGCTTTTGGCCACGCTTTAAAAAATTGTTTTTTTAAAACGTAGTGCCAATGGCAAACATTCACGCTTCCTCTAAAGGCGGATTGTGTTCCGTTTTTTGTCGTGAATCTGACCATTCCTCACATAGCAAGTGTAACACCTTCATTACACGACAGCCTCCGGTCTTTTTTGGACGAAGCTTAATGAACCGTTTCTCCCTGGCGTCTTTTTTTTCTCTTTCTTTTATTTAAAGCCTCGGCATCCAGTTGATCTGGACTCAGTTCTTTCAGAATTAGCCGGTTTTACTGTAAGGGTTTAACCAGATAAAGTTCAGGGCCTTTTTTTCCCCTGTAAACGTTTGAGAATTCTGACGAAAGAACTGAGCCTCTGCTTCCTCAGAGCAGAGGATTTGGCTTCTCACGGTATGAGAGTTATTCATGGGCCTTTTGGCCACGGCCCAGCTGGCTGTTCTGAGAATGTTTGTGAGAAACCGCTTCTGTCCGACCACTTCACAGGAAAATGCTCGCCGGGCTTAGTTCTGCCCCGATGGTTGTTCGTTTAAGGGTCCTTACACAGCAAATTGAGAGCGAGCCCCCCCCTCCACGCCCATCTGCGTCTCCTCTCATTTCCCAACTGGGCTCTGGTGGCGTGTTGTTATGGGGGCCGAAGAGTCCCCGTTTCCACAAAGACTCTCCACAAATTCCTCTCTCAGAAACAACCGACGGCGTAAAAAAGACTGCTTCACGTCTCCCACCGTCCAGATCATTCAGCTTTTAGATCAGAAACATGTGCACCATCTGACCCGTCGCTCATTGAGTGATGATGTTTAACTGTAAAAAAAACTATGTTTGTCTCCTAGTTCTTGGGGGTAAAAAAAGGCCTCCTTGAGGCTGGCGGGGAGCTTTTTTACTGAAGGTGGTGTCTCTTGTCTCCACAGCCTTTCTTCAGACTACTGAACCTACGGAAGCTCGGCCTGAGCGACAATGAGATCCAGAGGCTCCCCCCCGAGGTGGCCAACTTCATGCAGCTGGTGGAGCTGGACCTCTCCCGGAACGGTACGCCAGGCCGCCATCTTTTAAGCGCTCCGTCCAACGGGCCCCAGGCCGTCCGCACGCTGCAGAGAAACCGGGCGCCTTTACGGCAAATATGAGACATCTGCTCTGCCACATACTGCACCGGTGGGGGGGGGCTCTGGGAGCGGTGTGCAGTGGCCTGTAAGAGCCTCCCCCATCTGCCCGCCTGTGCCCCCCCCCCCTCGCCACTCTGAGCCACATGAGTGTGATGGGCTGCTTTGCTCTGCGGGGATTTCTGGACATGCACCTGCAGCAACCTGAGCTGAAACCCCCCCCTGCCCCCCCCCCAATCAGGCCAGCGGGTCACATTCCCACCCCCCTCACAATGTTCATCCTTTATTTATTCACACATGCGCCCCACCCAGCGTTGGTGTGTAGATGCCACCCTGTTTAATGTTGCGTCAGATGACTTCTGTTTTGTGGTGACTTCTGCATTTCGCCACACACAGCAGAACCTCTAAAAATACATTTTATTAGTTCCTGGACCTACTTTGTATGTTAAAATATTCGTATCATATTCCCATCAGAATACACTGTAATTCGTATAATTTGTTCCACAGCCCAAAAATTATTACACTATTGTGCTACTGCAATAAAACAAATGCATTATATAAGAGAGATATAAAAAGAAATGAATTATGTTGGAAATTTACTTTGAGTGTCGAGTCGAATATTGGATGGAATTTTACTTGGAAATATCTGTATGTTTAGGCCATCGTAAGTAAAGGTTCTACTGAATTCTGTGTTTCGTTTTGTTTTCTGTGAACCCCTTCAAACTCAAAAGCAAGAAAGAAAAACTCCTACTTTTTCTCCGTTTGCAGACATTCCTGAGCTCCCCGAGAGCATCAAGTTCTGCCGGGCCCTGGAGATCGCAGACTTCAGCGGGAACCCCCTCTCCAGGTGAGTCCAGCTTTCTCTGCCCCCCCCCCCCCCCAAGAACCAGCCTCTGAGCCTCTCCTCCTCTGCCGCAGGTTGCCGGACGGGTTCACGCAGCTGCGAGCGCTGGCTCACCTGGCCCTGAACGACGTGTCCTTACAGGCGCTGCCCAGCGACGTCGGAAAGTAGGTCTTAAAATACTTAAAATACTAAAATACTGCAAATCTTTTACAGTTACAGCATCAGCTGTGAATGTTTTATTGTTTGATATTAAAGAAAATGGAAACCTTTATTTTATCGGCTGGAAAGGTAATTTAGCAAACAGATTATTTTAAATGACACTTGAATGTGAACATTCGGTGGTAAAAATGAGTGAAAGTGCTATAAGTGAAGCCCTGGCTCAGACTGGGGG